TTTCTAAAATAGGGTCTCATTACATAGCCTAGGTGTCTTAGGTTTTATAGAAGGTCTATTCAGGCTTAAAAATGTATGTCTAGCCTCCTTGCCTTTGTTAACTTTGTTGGGCTTAAGCTACCTGGATAAATTGAGTCATATAATTTTTTTGTATTGATAGTAAGAGAAACTTCAATTGAAAAATTGTTGTTTTGTGAGGCTCCTACTTAGCAGAGACAAAACTACAAAATTCTTTCCCCAAGGTTAGACACTCAGATAAAGCTCCCATTTCCTCGGAGGGGGGGGGGGGTTGGAGAAAGTTCTCACTCTCTAAAGAGGGTGTCATCCTCCTTATCTCTGGCAAAAGAAAGTTCTTACTCTCTAAAAAGGGTATCACCCTCCTTATCTCTGGCAAAAGGAACTTGTGGCCCTTCCAGTGTGCTTGTGCGGGGTTGTGGTGCCTTAGAACTTATCAAGGGCAATGCTAGTCCTGGGCTCCCTCCTGTTCCCATTTGGCAAGGAATCTTTTCCTTGTCAACTTTCCTAGCCTTCCAAGGAGACAGCATTAACAGCTGGATACAAAGTTGTTCTGTTCTTACCCTCAGAATGACTAATTTAGTTTCTTTATTAGCTTCAACTGAAAATCACTATTTTTAAGGCTAAACCTGACAGAATATAAAGTTCTAATCTTATAAAAGCTGATAACTTATTATAGACTGATAGGAAATACAAGTTAATTGTCATCCTTAAAGCACTGATATAATTACAGAAATAAATCTCATTTAGTTCCCTGTATATGTTTTTAAAGTCAAGCTTAAAACAAGTACTTAGAAACAAAGTTTGTCTAATCAGATAAACCAAGGCAGTCCTCAAATACTTCAGAGATCTGCAGAATATGACATTTAAAATGGTGATTAAAAAGCTTATTATATTAGACAGAGACTCCCAGATCTTAGTTGTGACCCAAGGTTCCAAGAATTATGGGACACCATGCTGTCTCCACCTGGATTATGATGATGCTGACAACTGGGCAAGATGTCCTAATGCAATACCTGCTGCCAGGACCTGGCCTAGACTGTAGACAAACAGCAGGATATGTAGAATTGATTGTACCACTTTTGTCTCGACAAAATAAAGTTGGTCTTTCCCAAGTCCCTCTTCCACAGGGAAAAAAAAACTGCCTTACAAGCCTGGCTAAGACAACTGTTCTGACACTTCTATTTCCAATGCTATGGAGATCTGGGCATGGCTAACTATAATGGACTAGTCCCTGTCGTTTTTAATAGATTTGGAAGCAAATTGGTCTGTACTCAGGTATAATTTATTTATCCTTCTGAGATCTCTGTTAATATTGATGGCTAGGCTAGTAAACTTTGTTGGCTTAGCAGCAACAGGCATCCAAATCCTTCCACAAGGCTATAGTTAGATTGTTAGTTCATTATATACATAAAAATCAAACCTTGCTTTTTCTAAAGCTGTTAGGTCTCTTGATTTTAAAAAATGGTTTAAGGTATTACTGTTTGGGTCATTTATTTTACTTGTCATGTTGGTATAAACTGTAGGGGTGTTTCTTATCAAGTCAAAGACATCTCTGTCCAATCCATACTTGGCTCTCGGGACAGCAGAAAAAAAAATACATGCTTTTAACGCAAATCTATAGTTTTTGCTAGGACTCAAAGGTACGAGTCTATTCCTGCTGCTTTACAAATACCTGTTATCTGCTTTTTTCTATGATATGGATTTCAATATGGGCCTGAAAGTTTCAAATATTATTTTCCTTTAAGTACATAACTTTTAACTTCTGTTCCTAGTTTGAACTTGTCTGAACAAGTTTCCACTTGGCTGGCAGACACATTCAAGCATCAGTTGCTGACTACAACCTGTTCTAAATAATTGTGAGCCCTGGACTTGCTAAAAGCTGATATGAACCAGTCCAGCCGATGTAAATGCTCCCCATCTCTTCAACAGAGTCTACGAATCAGATGCTTCTGATAAATACCCCATTGCCTGAATTTCTTCTTTGCCTTTGACTAGCATTTCAGTCTTCTTGACCCCTGACAATGCCCCAAAGTCAGTAGGAAGTGGTTATAGGAAAGAACACATTGTCCTGTGCTCCCTGGTTGAAAAGCTAAGTCAAAAGAAAACTCCCTTACATAGAGGACAAAATGACTACCTATAAGGCCCATTGACATACTATGAAAATAGGACCAGAACTGTCAATTGATGGATTTATTAACCAAAATAACTCTGCAATAAGACACTTGACCTTCTTTATGCAGAATCAAAGAGGTATTATACGGCCTTATAAAACTATTATTTCTATATAAATCATTTAGGATTATAATCTGGCTGTACTCAAAGCTACAGGGCTTTAAGAATGACAATTGATGCAAATGTCACTGCCCTAGAAAAATCTGTGAGCTAATGGTACTGAGATCCCAATACAACCCCCTATTCCCTAGGTAAGCAGGACCCATGATTGGGTCCTGTCATTGGTACTTGTGAAAAGTGGGGAATATGGAGCCCAGGGCAGCCTGGTCACACATGGGACCCTGGCCACACAACTGCCAAGGCAAGCAACACCAGGTTCCAGAAAAAGCCATAAACTGACGCGATCTAGAGAGGGCCAACATCTAAAGGGAAGTATCTGACATTGCAACCATTAGATAAGATTAGATAAGAACACTAGACTAAGTCCAGAACTCACATATTCTCTTTTTGCCAAGACCCCTAGACAAATGTCAGCCAATCAGGGTCCCGAACTCTGGAAATTCCCTCAACCCATCCTCTACTATGATAAAAAACCCTACTCCAGCTGGGCTTGGCACTCTCTGCTCCCAACTGCTTGCTGCATCAGACAGATGGAGAGTTCAAGCTTAAGTTTGAATAAAGGCTCTTTGCTTTTATATAAGAGTGCAGACATCATCGTGGTTTTGGGGGATCCCCATGATCTAGGAGTAACAATTTCTATCCTAATTACTCTGTCACTATACCATGAAGTCAACTATCCTCAACATGTAAAAGAATGGGTATAAATGGGTTTCGAAAGAAATATTTCTTCTAAACATTTCTAAGTCACAGTTTGTCCATCTTTGAGAGAAATGAACCACACACACAAAAGCATTGTACCAGATAGACTTGGCCATGGTGGAAGTCCAGAAAGAACTATCAGTAACACAGACATGCAAAAAGAGATCAACTGTTGCTGGAGTACAGGCATGAAGCCTCAAACCTGAAATTGTCAGAATCAGAAACTTTAAGTGACTGAAGGTGAGATGGCAAAGCAATGAAAGAAAACAAATCCATGGCTTCCAAGAATCTGGAAGCAAGAAGTCAATCCATCTGCCTCTGGGAGAGGCCTAAGATCACTCCTGATGCCAAGACAAAGAATAACTGCTTCTGAAAGAGGGACAGAGGTGAAATCCGTCTAGTTCTATGAAAGGGACAAGGCATTCATTGGGTCTGTGAACCTATACCAACACTGATCAGCCTCTAATCTCATGCCTGCAATCTCAGCCACTTGGTGAAGAACCCAGAATATAATAATAAAAGAATATAAAAATCGTAAGCCTAAACACAATCTAGGAAAACTGAAGCTGACAGTCACTTTTAACTTTTAACTATTGCTTTCTGTCATAAGAGCTGCTACAGCTACTGTGAACAGAGGTACACATTTTAACTTTTGCTTCCTCCCTTCCAGATAGGCGATTATGGTGGGCAAAGGTTAGCTTCTAACTATTACCTTTATGGTACTCCCTGTGCTGCATTCCCTTAACTTTTAACTGTCCTATGGGACTCTATTCTCTCTCTCTCTCTGCCTTGCATTCTCTAAGGGACAACAAAGAGCAGCTGTGCCAGCCACAGGCTTTCTCAAACATCTTAAGTTAGTATCCTATAATCAAAAAGATGTAAATCTTAAAATGTAATGTAATTTTAAGCCTGACTTCAAGATTGTAAAAGCTCTTTGATCCACATCTGGTGCTTGATTTTTATTGTAAGAAGAGGTTCAAAACCGGCTCTCATTGTCTCAGTGTCAGAAGCCTGAACTCTGACCTGTGGCCCTAGTGAGCTGCAAGTTTTTTTGCCCGGCAGTGACTGGAATAAAGTATGGTTCTTGTTCCTAAATTTTGGTGGTCTGTACCCATTATTTGTACAGCCCTGGGACTCAACATTGGGAAGATAAGGCCAAGATGATCACAATTTTAGGGCAGCCTATGTAATGGAGAC